TTTTTTTTTTTTTTAAATACAGGTTTTGTTAAAGGTTTTGTTCAGGTTTTGTTCTTCTAATTTAAATTGTAAAAGTTACGCTTTCAGATTTACCTACATTTATTAAGTGCCTCCGATATTTTTAATGCTCATTAGTCTGTAAAAAAAATATATTTAAGCAAAATAAATATAGTTATTGATTGTTTATTTTTTTTATTTTATGTTAACCAGATGGGTGATATAGAAAAGTATTTACATACATTAAAGAAACTCAGGCCTAAAGTAATCCTAGTTTCTTCCTTGGGTAGTATATCTTTTTTTTCACAGGCAAACCTAGACCTTTTTGCTAATTAATACTCTCTTGATGACCAGGTGCCTTCACTACATCTTTCCATAAAGTGTTTCATGTGATAAAAGTTGCCAGTATTTTAATTCTGTGATTATGTTTCATCTGTGCTATGCTCCATCTTATCGTAGGGATATTATATATTTTTGTTATACCAAAATCAAAAATAAATATAATATGCATTATATGCTGAAGCTTTATGAAAATACTGTGTTCTAATGTAAAAAGAAAGAGAAAATAATAAATTTACAATGAAGTAAATAAAAAAATTAAATTAAAATACACCAACACGACAATACTCGGTTCAATCTAATATTAGCGAGAAGAATAAAAATATCCCTTCTCAGAAATTAGTTAAAAAGTAGTGTGATTAATCTGATTGTAATTTCTTATCTGGTCTTGTCAGTATAGATTGTGTTTCAGTTAATTATTACCAGTCTTTTAAAGAATTGTAAATATGAGATTTAGCATCCTTTACCATTCATATAAATTTTAGTTATATCACTATATGGTTAGCTCCATGATTTTTTAATTTCATTTTTATTTATTTTCTGAACCAACTCTAAAGTGACACTAACTTTCTTAATAAAGATCTAGAGTACAGAAAGGAATGTTTATAATAGCTTGTCAGAGCAAAAAGGAAATAAAATATGCCATTTACATTCTTACGTATGCCTGCAAATTCTAAATGCAGTTGATGGCTTGCACATACTAGATATAATTCATGAATATTTCATAAAAATAGATAAAGGACTAGAGAATAAGAGTTGCAAGATATATGGTGGAAAATTCTATCAATTTTCTTGAAGCCACTGACAAATTCCTTTCTCTGAAGTGCAAGTCTATTTTAAGAGAGACTTTTTAGAGTTCTTAGTTCCATGAAATGCGAGATTCACATAAATACATGAATCCTTAAGAAAAGAAACTGAATAGAACCACTTATAATTCTTTTTTGTGTGTGTGTGGCATTTTTTACACTAAGTGGCTCTTTTCACTTAGCCCTGGAAAATGTTCTTATATTAATTGTTTTGAAGCTCCATTGTTTAGAGAATGTGCTTCTGGGATGCGGAGATGCTGAACAGGTGCTCCGCCACCCTGCTGAGGAGATGGGCCTTCTTCACATACAGCGTTTGCTTCAAGGACATGTGGTAATTTGGGCTCCTGATAAATAACCATGCTGATTGGTA